AAGTCATAGAGAATAGAAAACAAACCTAGATTCAAACCTCGTAGAAGGTTGATATTGAAGTTCAGTGTTGCAAAGTGAGCCTTTCATGTCAGGTGCTTATTGAAGGTGGCACTCAAATATGTGCTTGTGTTGTACAGATGTACGGAAGCATGTTCTAAAACATTAAAGAGATCGGGATGATGGCGTGATCGACATTTCTATTTGCTTTGATCAAACAGAATAGCTTTGGTGTTATGTGTATTGATTGTAAGCTGTCAGTATCTACTCTAAACAAGGAAGTGCTTTATTACGGTTTCTAGAATCCTGTTTAAGGTGACCATAGGTCAGTAGGTAGCCATTATAGCTGTATCATCAGATACTGAAAGATCCGAACATGACCCGGAGACTGTGGCATATCTGAAATATACAGGATATAGAGGAAAGGTGAGAACATTGAACCTTGAGGAATACCTGGTCGGAAGATAAAGGATCTTAAGAAAGTTCCATGCTATCTATTAGGAATTAATTAACGACATACAATTCAGCTTGAAAGTCATTCCGTGATACCAGACAGAACCAAAATCCCTTTCAATATCGAAGAGTGTCATACAATATGGTCGGTTTGTATTAAAATGACTGGTAAAGGTTTCTTAGAGACGGAGAAGCTGATCATGCGCAGAAAGTAGGGGACGAAATCCTATCTGTATATTTAGCAATAGTTTATGGCCTCAAAGAAATCTGTGTAGACACTTAACAAGTATACGTTGAAAGGTTTCGCTAATTATACTTGCGAAAATGACTGGCCTGGAGGAAGCTTTATTGGAAATCGAAAAAAAAAGATTAAGTTTCTTATTATGTGCGTGGTGTTTTTAAGTGTCGTTTCCCCACCACAGTGAACCGATATTTATATATGGTTTGAAGAATATGCTACTAATTTATTCTTCTAACTTATTTAGCTGACTAGCTAATTAAGATAGGAAAAATAAATAATAAGTTCAATCTATCGTTCGATTTGCCACTGAGTTATACTGGTTTCAAAGAATCAGTTTGGGGTCTTAAGCAGCTTGCCTGCTGAATAATTTAGAATAATAAAATGTTATAAATATTATATATATTATTCAAAACCTATATAAACATAGGTTTATTATGGTGAGTAATGTAAACATCATATATAGATTTATTTATATAACTACAGTTCATCACTATTTTGTTTTCTGTCTGTTTTGCTCTTGTCTATGGTTACTGGGTAGAGGTGGAATTCCTCGAAACCGATATAACTTTATTTTCGCATGTAGAGCGTAAAATAAAACTAGAACTACAGATACAAAGAAATAGATAAAATAGGTTTGTTTGTTAGTAAGCACAAATATGCACAATGGTCTATCTGTGCTATTCTCCAGCAAAAATCAAACTCTGAATTTTATCGTTAGAAGCCCTAATGCTTATACTGTTGAGACATTCTGTATATGTGTGTGTGTGGGTGGGGGGGAGACAAGATAAGAAAATTAACATCAACTATGAAAGGAAAATTTGGGGGGGGAGACAAAATAAGAAAATTAACATCAACTATAAAAGGAAAATTGCTACATTTTATTTTTTTAAAAAGAATTTAAACATTTTGTTTAATTTTGAATCCAATCAACAAGGAAACATAAGATTATATCGTAGTTCTTCATGAAAATGAACTGGATCAGGTTTTACTCTAAACAAATGGTAATCCAGCATTGCAACTCTCAGGATCGACCTCAGTAACTCTCGCATGCCAAACGAGCATTCTGCCAACTTAGTTAAAAGTTTAACTGAATAAAATACTATTATCAAATTTTTTCAGCATCTCAAGCAACTTCGGGTGTAGCTTAAAGGACAATATATTTAGCTGTTTTAAAGGCCTAATTTCAACTGGCGAGCTTGAGGTATTATAACATTAATATTCAGGGTTCAATCTCTGCAGCTTTGAGCTTAAAACAAAAGCAAACAAAGAAACATTTTTTTTCAAATTACGGCTAAACAGAAACTATTATTTACGTATTACAACTGAAAAGAAACTATTATTTACATATTACAACTGAACAGAAACTATTATTTACATATTACAACTGAACAGAAACTATTATTTACGTATTACAACTGAAAAGAAACTATTATTTACATATTACAACTGAACAGAAACTATTATTTACATATTCCAACTTTTCCGCATTTGACGTAAGCAGTACCAGCTTTCTCTTTGCTACAGTTTTTAAATCGACGTATATTCAGGACTTATTCGAAAGATTACGTTTTATCATCATATCAGTAAAACCTTTCTTAGTCTCCTGACGGGTCACTCGAACCATAATGACCATTAATATAAATAAATAAAAACAAGATCCATCCGATTATCTCCTGTGGAATTTTGAAAAACAAACAAACAATAATAAGGAAGAAAATTTCAAAAAAACAGTACAGTATCCAAAAATGTTTCATAAGAAGTTATGAGTGAAAGTAGAGAAGAACGAGGCCTTTCGCTTAACACCAAGGCTCATCAGGCCGGCTGGTGTACGACAGACATAGTAGTGGTCGAGACGCTTTTTATATCATCTGTGGCTTAAATAATATTTTTTTTCGGTGTGAACCAGATTAAACTGTATTTTTATGATACGCTTATGAAATGCCATCTTAGAATACATAAAAAATTACCACACAACATAGAATCCAACTTTTTAAAGTAAGCTACAGAAATTGAAAGCAAAATTTGTATTAGGCTAATGAGATCTTTTAAAACCTTTTTGCACTAAACTTTGCACGAACCCATACTTACGTTGAGCTAAGATCGAGTTTCATACGTAGACCAACGAAAGTGGTTTAAGTGACACAGGAATACACATACCAAGAGACAGTGATAAACACAGCATATTTGTTATTTTGTTTAGAGTAAGCTACACAATGGACTATCTGTGTTGTGTCCACCACGAGTATCGAAAACCGGTTTTTAGGGTTATAAGCCTTCATACTTACCACTGAGTCACTAAGGGTGTAACAAACCATAATATAAAAGCTACACAATTATAATAAAAGTATAGACAAAAAACATTATTCTCTTAAATTTTTACCATAACACAAACACACAGAAAAATGGAGAACTGGTTACACCGAATTTAGGGTACACTAGAAAGTTGTGTTTAAATCGTTGTATACCTTATGTTTTTCTATTTGTGTTCAGATACATTTACAAACACACACACACACAGAAAAATGGAGAACTGGTTAAAGCGAATTTAGGGTACACTAGAAAGTTGTGTTTAAATCGTTGTATACCTTATATTTTTCTATTTGTGTTCAGATACATTTTTTATACATTACAAATCGTGCAGTACCTTAAACACAATATACATGAATATTTTATTATATTATGTTTAATATTATAAGGTTCAGGATGTAAATTATCAGGATGGCACACTGATTGCGTTACATCATATTGTAGGGAAGCTTAACTGATGGTAGTGTTTCGGAAAGTTGAACAAGAAAGACTTTAATGTAATATTTTTAACCTCATAAATTAACTTAGTGCACGCCTCCCATATTTCGACACAAATCTTTATTACTGTTAAAGTTCTTTGATTATCCGTATAAGGGTTGGTCAACATTGATTTTGGCTTAAATTTCTTTAGCTGTTCCTAGGTTGGTCAACATTGATTTTGGCTGAAATTTGTATAGCTGTTCCTAGGTTGGCGATTTTCTTGGCTCTGTTTCAATTGAAGAAGTGTTGCAATCCCACTTGTTACTCCACAGCTGCTGACTACGCTCGTGTGGGCGATCTAGAATGAAACTTTATAGAAACATGTAACATGGAAGAATGTGTTGTCGTCACACGTCAAGAATATTGAACAGAAAGTGTCTTCACACCCAAATCCTGGGTAGGCAGCTGTTTTTGCCTTGATTCCTTCAGTGCTTTATAATTTGTGAAAATATTATATTTGTAATTATTGTATGAGTTTGTAACAGGCAGTGAAGGAAATAAAACTTTCCCACACATCCATGTAATCAACAAGTCCAGAAAGCCTCAAATATTCATGAAAACATACCACAACTTAGTTGTTATAATTCCTTTCTATTTATGGATAGCCTAGTTATAAATACTTTATTGATCATTGGAACTTAGTGAGTCGAAATGTCACACGGCTTAATTACTGTCAGATCGTTTAACTGGAAACTGTTAAACTTTCACCGTTCAGTCAGCTTTGAATGATTTTAGAGGCCTTGACCCACATGGATCGAAACTTGAATAACTTATCAAGCAAAATGTTGGAACGTAGAATGACCTAAACCTTCTTGGCCGATCCGAGGGGTTTTCGGTTTCTATCGGGACTGGCCCGTGTCTACTCAGCGCAAGCTTGCCTCCCGTTGAGCCGTCGAATGCTTCGTTTGTTCAGAATAAATGCACTGGGGTTAGAGGGAAGACTTCAGGCTGTGCCGTGTATCCGATCTTGACAGATTTTAGGAGTGGGAACGGGCACAAGAATCAGCAAGTTCTATAGACAGGGCGGTTCTAACATCTTTTGAATCATGTGCACGACGAGCTATGTTGATTTCAGTAGTATTGACACTTACCTTTTGTCTGGGAAGGCTCTTGTGTATGGTTTTAGAGACAAAAAGGCTGTCAAACTTAAGAAACCAAAGCCTCGAAGGAACTCTCCTGCATACAAGAGTCCCAAAAAAGACCAATATGGCGACGATGGCCAAGTAAAGTTAGATATTTCCTTAGAACTTTAAATAAATGGATAATTATTATTTGATGAGAGTCTCAACAAGATGAGTAACTCTCTAAGTCTATGATAATACGTTCCTCTTGCTAAGAAAACCTACTGTTCAATGACGTCACGTGAGTAAAGACTGGTCCAGACTGTATTTTTAAGACTCTGGCTATGAGTGTATGTTGCATGCTAATAGCTTGTCTCCGAAGTTAATTACCACTTCCCTCTTCCCACTAAACGAGACCATAAAAACTTTTATAAGCATGATTCGAGCGGTGCCAACCAGGCTACTGTGTTGGTAAAACATATTTCGTCACGAAAAGACGTCCCTGATATCCATGACGATCTAGTTTATTGTTGTTTTATTCCATGGTGACGTTTCGTTGTAACATTTAAGAAACTGAACTAATTTAGTATGTTCCTTCTGTAAATATTTATTATCGATATTGTACGATATAACAAAATCAATGCTAGTAGAAAGTTCTGTAAGTCTGCCCCTTGATGTAAAGAAATTACAAAGTTTATTACCTTATGTTCACGTTTCTTAAAAACATGGAACTATCTAACAACCTAGTGTTCTTTTAGTAAAATCATGATACCGCCGCCCAATAGTTTAATGTTCCGTTGTTAAAAATATAATACCGCCGAATAATCTAACGTTCTTTTGTTAAAACTTCGTAGCCCTAGCAACCTAACGTTCTTTCGTTGAAACTCAGTACAGCCTAGTAACCTAACGTTCTTTCGCTGAAACATAGTATTGCCTAGTAAACCGACTTTCTTTTGTTAAAACTTGGTGCTATCTGGTAATGTAACGTACTTTTGTTAAAACTTGGTTCTACCTAACAACGTAAAGTTATTTTACTAAAATTTGGTGCTTCCTAGTAATGTGACGTTCTTTTATTAAATATTGGTGCTATCTAGTAATGTAAAGTTAATTTGCTAAAACTTGGTGCTACCTAGTAATGTAAAGTTTTTATTAAATATTGGTGTTATCTAGTAATGTAAAGTTCTTTTATTAAATATTGGTGCTATCTAGTAATGTAACGTTCTTTTGTTAAAGCTTGGTGCTATCTAGAAATATAACGTTCTTTTGTTAAAAGTTCGTAGCCTCTAGCAATCTAACGTTCTTTCGTTAAAAGTTCGTAGCCTCTAGCAATCTGACGTTCTTTCGTTGAAACATAGTATTGCCTAGTGAACATACTTTTTTTGTTAAAACTTGGTGCTATCTAGTAATGTAGCGTTCTTTTGTTAAAACGTAGTACTTTCTGGTAATGTAATGTTCTTTTGTTAAAACTTGGTGCTATCTAGTAATGTAACGTTCTTTTGTTAAAGCTTGGTGCTATCTAGTAATGTAACGTACTTTTGTTTAAACTTGGTGTTATCTGGCAATGTAACGTTCTTTTGTTAAAGCTTGGTGACTACGTTTTAACAAAAGTACGTTACATTACTAGATAGCACCATGTTTTAACAAAAAAGTATGTTTACTAGGCAATACTATGTTTCAACGAAAGAACGTCAGATTGCTAGAGGCTACGAACTTTTAACAAAAGAACGTTATATTTCTAGATAGCACCAAGCTTTAACAAAAGAACGTTACATTACTAGATAGCACCAAGTTTTAACAAAAGAACATTACATTACCAGATAGCACCAAGTTTTAACAAAAGAACATTACATTACCAGATAGACTTTCTGGTAATGTAATGTTATTTTGTTAAAACATGGTGCTACCTGATAATGTAACGTACTTACGTAAAAACTTGGTGCTACCTAGTAATGTAAAGTTCTTTTATTGAATGTTGGTGCTATCTGGTTGTGTAAAGTTAATTTGTTACAGCTTCGTGCTATCTAGTCATCTAACGTATGTTGATATTTGGTAATGTGGCGTTCTTTTGTTAAAACTTAGTGCTACCTAGTAATGTAACGTTCTTTTATTAAAACTTGGTGCTACCTAGTAATGTAAAGTTTTTGTTACAACTTGGTGCTACCTAGTCAACTAACGTTTGCTAAAATTTGGTAAGGTAATGTTCTTTTGTTAAAAGTTGGTGCTATCAGGTAATGTAATGTTCTTTTGTTAAAAGTTGGTGCTATGGGGTAATCTAACATTTGTTAAAACATGGCAAAGTAACGTTCTTTTGTTAAACCTTGGTGCTCTCTAGAAATATAACGTTCTTTTGTTAACCCTTTGTAGCCCCTAGCAGCCTAACGTTCTTTCATTGAAACATAGTATTGCCTAATAAACCGACTTTCTTTTGTTAAAACTTGGTGCTACCTAGTAATCTAACGTTTATCAAATCATTCTTGTGTTTAAATATAGTACTTCCTAGTGAGCTAACGTTCTTCTGTTGAAACATAATACTATCTGATAAACTAACTTGTTATGTTAAAACTTGGTGCTACCTAGTAATGTAAAGTTCTTTTGTTAAAACTTGGTGCTATCTGGTAATGTAATGTTCTTTTGTGAAAAGTTGGTACTATGTGGTAATAAAAGTTGTTTTGTTACAACTTGGTGCTACATAGTAATCTAACATTTGTTAAAACATGGTAATGTAACGTTCTTTTGTCAAACCTTGGTGCTCTCTATAAATATAACGTTCTTTTGTTAAAACTTGGTGCCACCTGGTAATGTAACGTTCTTCTGTTAAAACTTGGTGCCATCTGGTAATGTAACGTTCTTCTGTTAAAACTTGGTGCTATCTGGTAATGTAACGTACTTTTGTTAAAACTTGGTGTTACCTAGTAATGTAAAGTTCTTTTATTAAATATTGGTGCTATCTAGTAGTGTAAAGTTATGTTAAAACTTGGTGTTACCTAGTAATGTAAAGTTCTTTTATCAAATATTGGTGATATCTAGTAGTGTAAGTTATGTTAAAACTTGGTGCCACCTGG